AGTGTAAAATACATTTGATGCAGCAGTGAGCCAGAGTCATTGCAGTTCATTATGTGTTTGAATATATCAAAATGTTCTAAGAAATGTTTTAAAGCACCCAGGACTCTCCTTTTTGCCAAGACATGACTTAATACACGATACAAGTTTTAAAGCTTTGCCTGGAAGTAGCAGATTAAGTGATTTAATGGTGGAGCAGGATTGTTAAGAAACCCAATTCCTTACAAAGTACTTTATATTCTACCAAGAAAACGAATTCCTTACAAAGTACTATTCTATCAGTTGTAAAGTGTTGCACACTTCAAAGTGTATCTAAAAGTATCTTAGTAACACAAACAAAAGCAAGGAAGAAAAAAGCAAAAATCAGTAAAGTCATCTAACAAAACATATATTTAAAAAAGTAATGTTAGTCAAGTGAAGTTATCAAAACTGCATTGTTTCATCGAAACAGTGTTAAAATCACAAACTCTCCAGTTAGAGTTTGATTCTTTAAGAATCTCAATTCATTACAAATTAATGAATATTTTACCAAGTTATAAAGTTTTGCATCCATTAAAGTGTAACTATAAGTATCTTTGTAGGAGAAAAAACAAAAATAATTTAAGTTATTTCCAGAAAACTGGATTGTCTTACTAAAATCCCCAAGTGCCTTTAAGAGTCACAGTCTTAAAGAAAATCTGTTCGTCTTAGTGGGGGTCCTTAGTTTTGGATGATTTGCTGATTGGGGTGGGACTTATTGCGTTGAGTGTCTGTATATTCAAAAATATAATGGAAAAAGGAGAGAAAAAACAAATATCACAGTATGTTGAAAAATGTGAAAAAAGTAATGTTGTGTTAAAGTAATGTTGTGTTAAAATAACTTATTGCGTTGAGTGTCTGTATATTCAAAAATATAATGGAAAAAGGAGAGAAAAAACAAATATCACAGTATGTTGAAAAATATGAAAAAAGTAATGTTGTGTTAAAATAACATGAAAGAAATCAAAAGTAAAGCATCTAAAAACATATATTTAAAAAAAGTAATGTTAGTCAAGTAATTCATTACAAATGAATGAATATTTTACCAAGTTATAAAGTTTTCCATACATAAACGTGTATCTTACAGTTCCTTTGTGAGAGAATTACGCACAAATCTGTCATATCAAAACATTCTATTGCAGTATTTTATCTGTTTTATGTGCTCTATATGTATATATATATATATATATATATATATATATATATTTGTTGCACTGTTGGAGGAGCCTGTGACCTATGTTTTTCATTGACATATCTACACTGTAGCTAATGGGCATATGCCATAAAGCCTTGAAACTTGAAAACTTAAAATGATCAGCAACTGCATTGTCTCACTGAAAACAGCTCTAAAGAAAACCCAATTCCATACAAAGTACTTAACTTTCTACCAGTTGTAAAGTGTTGCTCACTTCAAAAGTGTATCTAAAAAGTATCTTAGTAACAAAAACAAAAGCAAAAAGCATTAATGTTAACAACGCCTCAAAGGGCGGACTCCTGAGTTCCGTAATGTCCCCCTACCATGGCTCTTGGACTATTTACATCATCCAGGGCTCAACACCAGTAAATACACCTCTCTTTATCCGCTCTCCAAGACTCCAAGGGCGGACTCCTGAGTTCCTTAATATCCCCCTAACATGGCACTTAGACTATTTACATCATCTAGGGAAGCACACCAGTAAATCTTCCTTATAGTTAATAAAGTAATTAAACAATAAAAAGACAAGATCAAGGGGTCATTAAGATCTTTAAATTATTATTACCCTCTTCAAAGAGACTTCGTTGTAGTTAAAGTAATTAAACATTAGTTCACAAGCCATACAACTTAAGAGAACATCCAGTTCACAAGCCATACATTTTCAAAAGAACATCCTTAGTTAACAACAACTTCATAGGGGCTTTTCAAGTTGTGTGAAGTAATTAAACATTACAATTACAATATCAGGGGGTCATTAACATATTTTTTAATTAGTATTACCCTCTTTTCAAAAAGAGAGTCCCTTGTAGTTAGTAAAGTAATTAAACATTAGTTCACAAGCCTTACAACTTAAGAGAACATCCATAGTTAACACAAATCATATTAAAAACTAATCTAATTTTGTAGGTGACTTAGTGAATGAGAATTAATGGCTGATAGCAAAATCAGGAGGTGACCGGCTGGGGGAGGGGAGGGGTGGGAGGGGTGGGAGGGGGTGTGAGGGGAGACAGTCTCACACATCCAGACTCCATTTTTCATGAAGAGCCTCAGACGGAGGGTCTGAACCCGGCACAGATACTGCACCCGTTTCTTGACTGGCGCTCCCGACTGTCACAGGCGTCTCGCTGATTAAACCCATATTGATGCGTCTCTTTGCCATTTTCGTTTTTGAAAGTTTAGGTGACTTGGTGAGTGGAAATGACTGGCTTTTTATCTAGTTTGCACGGATTTCTTTTTTACCTAACTCCACCCCTCACTATCTTCTGACATCACAGCTAAAGGAAGGGGGGTGACAGAAGAGGTGAGAGGGGGACGGGGTGGGAGGAGGACGGGGTGCGAGACAGTCTCACACAACTTCAAAGAGACTGTCTTAATACTAGTTACAAAGTCTGATCAAAGGACATACATCAAAGGGCTAATTAGATTGACATCAAAGGCTTATAACACGTCGGTATGATATCACACCTACATGTTACAACACCTCACCACCCTCGCATCAAAGGACAGACATCAAAGGGTAATTAGATTAGACAACAAAGGGCAGACATCAAAGGCTAATTAGATTAGACAACAAAGGATCTACTACAAGGGGGAATATCACACCTACATGTTACAACACCTCACCCCTCACATCAAAGGGCTAATTAGATTAGACAACAAAGGGGCAGATATCAAAGGCTAATTAGATTAGACAACAAAGGATCTACTACAAGGGGGAATATCACACCTACATGTTACAACACCTCACCCCTCACATCAAAGGATATCACACCTATCTGCGATATCACACCTACACGCGATAACACCTCGAACAAAGGGACTCATTAGCATATCAAAGGGGCTCATTAGCATAATTAGTGGGGGACATGTCACTTTTTATGCATACTAATGTGATGGAAGCGGGATCAGTATAACTACTGTCATCCGATAATTTATTCCGAACTTAAATTACTCAGACCCACTAATGAACCTAACCGAAGTTATTGAGTCTATGTAAGTTTACTGCTTTGCTCAGATCCACCAACGTCAGCAAGATCTCACCTCTATTAACTCCTGAAGAACCAGGTTCAATTAACTGCTGTTTCAATTCAGACGACCCCCTAAATCTGTTAAAGCGATCCCGAAGGATTTTGATATCAGTAATGAGGTGTGGCCCTACCTAAGTGTGAGTGTGGCAGTGTGCAATCTTACCTTTGAAGCAGGAGAGGAGAGCGCAGATGTCTTTCAAGTTGTCCCAATCCAAAAGGTGGGATCAGTTTATTTGATGAAAAATAGGTCCACACTTATACAGGGTTTTTACCTTCTCTTGTTACAACATTATAATCCTACTAAACATATCATGCTGTGATCATGTTCTAATGTGAAACCTCAATTCACAGTTTTACATTTATTACCATCATTTGTAACTTCAACTGCCCAATTCAGTTGTGACATTTAAAATCTCCCGATAGAATTTAGAGGCATTTCCTCATAAATGACCAGTGATAATAAAAAGCACATTCAAACTTTCATTCAACAAACCAGTTCACGTACACACGTATGTCCAGCATGAATTCAGAGGACCTTTCCTCACAGGTGGCAGGGTACTAACATTCAACAAACATCAATTCATTCCACTCATTTCACAAAGAAATTCACTCAGCATTCAACAAAGAAATTCGAGAGATATTTACCAAGTTTGAGAGAACCTTACAGAGAGCAAAAACCCAGCTCTGAAGCTCTCCCTCTCTAACCCAGTGTTTTAAAGCTCAACACAGGGCAGACAAACCCAAGACACACCTCCTCAGGCTTATGTAACAACAGTTCATGACCTCAAATGTACAGAACTAAAACATTATTCTCGGTTATGACAAAACCACCTTTTTGGGCCTCAGTCTATCTCCAAAAGGTCAGGAGCCCCCCTCCCTGTGTACTGCTGTGAGGGAAGAGGGAAGAAACTGCCTTCTTATCAGTGACACCTATAAACCATTATAGGCCTTACACACAACTCAACTTAACAAACCACTTGTGTTTTGTTTATACTGTAAATATAGAAAATCATAAAATATGAAGCATTTTCATTGTGGGTTATACAAGAATATAATTGATTATATTTGATTATAACTAACTTTCGTTTTAATTATTCAACCTGATATGGAGATCTCAACAAATGCCAAACTAAGATGAAGGTAAACCAAAGCATGAATCAGATAGCTGCTCTCCAAACAGATCCTCAGCAGAGAGAGAGACTCTGGCCTTTCACTCCTCAGGTGCCGGCGGCCAGGTGCCCTCAGTCAGTGCTGATAGGGAGGAAGGGAGATCGTTAAAGGGCCATACACACATACACACACACACACACACACACACACACACACACACACACACACACACACACACACACACACACACACACACACACCAGGAGAGAGTAAAGCAGGGGTCTTCACAGTATTGTGTTTTTGGCAATGAGGCTTCAGTTGTGAGGAGTCAACACAAGACCCTTCCTCAGGGTGTGCCAAATTGCGGGCATCTGCATTGTTGGACCACAACTCGGACCACAGCTCGGACCACAGCTCGGACCACATCTCAAAACAGCCTGTTTCCCGGCTACTTCCTTGTTCACGCGGCGGAGTATGACTTCAATGTCTTCCTTCCTAAATAAATATGATGGGTAGAAAAACATGTTATCACATGATGGTCACATTAAGTCGAGGGTAAAATATATGTTAACGATTTTATCATCAGATTTAGATCTACAAAACCTTTTGGATATTTCAATAACTATATAATTAATGTAGAGTCTGACATTCACCTCTGACAGCCCTTTATTAGCTGGTTACAGACAGATTGGATGAACCAGCTCCCCACCTCTTGGTTTCTTATAGAAAAATAATCTTCAACAGTGGAACAATGAACTAGAAAATCTGCTTCCTGAGGGATGAATTTCGAGGGAGAGCCATCAGCCTGCTGTGTCGAGTCAGAGTCATCAGCCTGCAGATCATCTGATACCACCATAGGATGTATCTGCCGCCCCTGGCAGGCCTGGATCAGGAACACTTTGGGCTTGGCAGTGAGGGGAGATTGAGGAGTTGCCATGAAGGTTCTCGTTATTTGTTTGATAGGGAGGGACTTCCAATCAGTCCCCGATACAACACCCTTGTCTCCGTGACTGAGAAGACAGCAGATGAAGGCATCGCCATGCTGAGGAGCCTCTCGAAGATCGGTGAATCTGCTTCCAGTCCACTCCTGGACCTGGACCTTGAACTCCTGCAGCTGAGAAAGGTCGCACTGAGAAGCAAAGCATTTCAGCGTTCGCTCCATCTGGTCCTTGGTTTGGTCTTTACACATCAGCACTCTGAACCCCAGCCAGCTGAACACCTCTGCCAAGCTTTCTGCAGTGAAATAAAACCTAGTTAGGTTTCAACAGGCAACACCGGGATGATAATATACATCTGTCAACTCTGTAACGTACCAGCATCTTTATCGGTTCCATATCTCACGTTACCACCAACAAAATGTTTGTTGTTTATGATCAGGCAGAGGCCGGTGGGCTGGCTCTTCCACTCGTACTGCTGGTCCTGAAAACAACAGAAACTATTTCACACAAACACAACATGATGAAACTGGAATGGATTAGGTCTGGGCTGTGTGGACACAATCTAATATATTTACACTTTAAGGTTTTTGATGAGGAATAATAGCTATGTGGATATCATTGCTAAATAGTGCTGCAGATCATTACATATGTTAATAAATAGTCCAAAAGTGGAAGCAAGTACTCAAAACAAACTCCTTTGAGTTGACTCTTTTGAAAAAGCCTGCTTGCCACTCCAAAGATGGAGGCAATGTTCAAGACGGTCACCAATGATGGAAATGTCCTTTTTTTGCCATTAAATCACTTTCACTTGCTCAATCATGGATCTTGGTGTCAAATCATACATTTAATAACAACGTAGAAACAAAATTCAGACGTCAAGAATGACTCAGAAGTTGTCTAAGCCATAACATTTAAATAATCTGCCAATAGAAAACTGGGTAGCCAACATGCAGTGCAGCTGTAGGTGGTGCAGGTATGTTGGGGTGTAGGAGTGTAGTACTGTAGAGGGACACTGGGGACATCATGGTGTTCAGTGTTGGTAGCTTGCTAACATAGAAGACTCTCATCAGTATCAGTGTGCTTTCTAATACGCCCCACATTGTAACGTTCTGTGTTTAAAGGACAGAACGTAGCTCTGAAGAACTTTCTAAATTGTGAATTTGGCTGTAATTCAAAACAAACATCACAGAATTTGGTCGAGTGGTGAAAATGTTAAAAATACTGTTTACTTGGATGGAAATGACGGCCATCTTGGAAATTGGACGCATTTATTTCAAAATGTAAGTTAATACAGGATAATAAGGATGTTAAAGGTGTCTTTTTTACAAAGGCTAACTAAAAACCCTGACGCAAGCATTTTAACATGAAGTGTGCTTTCTCAATATTAGGTTATCTCACCTCCTCTCCGCTTTCTGGCTGATTATCTGTGGGAATAAGAGGGAAATAGAAGGACACTTTACAAACGTAACATTTTAAAATGTCAACCTCACAGTAACACACATTTGGCATGCGTATTAGTCATTTGTATGCATGTTAACGTACCGGTGTTCTCCAGTATGTTCTCCAGCTCAGGGTAAGTCTCCTGGATCTCCTCATCAGTTTGCAGGAGGTTCAGGAAGAATTGGCAGGCCGGCTCTCCTTTGTTCATGATCGTATTCACCAACCACCCAACCTGGCCCTCTGCATCTAGTTTGTCGATGCTTCTCAGTTTGTTGTACTCACGTGCAGTCATCAACTTCTTTTCATAAGCTTTGATGAGGATTAGCGTGTGGTCTGCACCCAAAGTTTCCACAATGGATGTCTTATTACTTCTCAAAATGTCGTAGGCTGCCATGCTGAATCTGACAGGGAGAAAAACAACACGCATAGTAAATATATTGGTCTATTTTTTTTCATCATAATCTGGCACCAAAAATAAAATATCATTTTTTAATTTACTCACGAGTTAAAAGCAACAATAAAAGCAGCAACACCCTTCAGAATGAATGCATATCGCTTTAAAGTGTAGTTTAACTCTCTAGATTGAATCCATGCTAACCTGCTATCAGCTAACTTTCAGAACTACTTCCTACGATAATGGCATTAAGTGACGTTGCTAAAGTTAGCCACTTTATCAAAGTCGACCACGTGTTTCAGAGCACTGCTATCTCTGTCCTGCCAAGCCACCGGGCTCCATTCAGGCCAGACCGAACAAAACCACACAATGTACCAAACTCCACCCAAATATCTGAGTATTTAAGGAAAACATGGGTATAATGACAAATAAACTTTGATTTAAAACAATAATAATTCATAATAAGCTGTTGTGGTTAATGCTGGTGAGTTCGGCATTTATTCCATCCACTATTAAGCCCTGTATTTAGCATAAATAGACAACCTGTGCGGCGCGCTCAACCTCCATGTCTCTCACGAGCACACAGGTTCCAAACTCCACTCAACTTACTGTATATTTAACAAAAACGTGGATATTTATCAAGATATGTGTTGATTCCAGACAGGTTAGTTCATAATAAGCTGCTTTGGTTACTTCTGATGAATTCGACATATCATTTATCCACTATTAAACATGTATTTTGAATAAATTGCTAAATAAACGTCCCTCTAAAGAGGCGGGAAAACAGCAGTAGTGGGAATACAAGTTGTATAAATATGAATATACTAACAGGTATGTGTGATGTGTGTACACCGAGTAAAAGGTGTGATCCCGTAGATTCCTGTACTCATGCTATTGAGTGTGTGTTTTCATGTAAACATCTACAGCAGGGCTTCTCAAACTCCGGACCAAGGTCCGGATCCGGACCGAACTGCAAATCAATCCGGACCGAACCCTGTGTCCCATTATAAAAAATAAAAATAAATTTAATTTAAAATTTAAAAATTCTGATTGTGATAAATTACAGGTGGGGTAAGTAAGTTTGAGAAACCGGCTCGAGATACACTTTTTGTTATATTCCATGGAATGCTCTTAACATCCCGATAGCAATGAATATCTGAAGTGCTTTGACAAAAAAATCCCTAAATAAATATCATCTGTGGAAGCTGTAGTACTGTAAAAAGCACGACCAATCATCTGAGCCGGCCCGGCTAAAATAACTGGATGGCCTACCTGCCTGTCAGCCTTCCATCTGTGCACAAACTTATCTCGTGCCCTCATTGGTCATGTGCACGTTCGTGTGTGTTGGAGGAGGGGCTCTGTGAGGAAGTGGCAGATTTTCTCCGGTTGTGTATTTTCAAATTCTAGCGCACTCGAGCTGGTTTCTCAAACTTACCTACCCCACCTTTAATGTACATCATTGTGTACGCGCGTCTTGTGTCTGACGCATTGTGAGAATGAACGTGCATATATATTTACTTATGTCCGCAAGTTAACCGCAAGTTTACCTTGACTTTCTTCTTTCTGCTTCTAATGGCTTTTTTGCCGAGGTTCAAGGCATTGGCTTCAGACAAACAGTGTCATTTCTCCCACTAGTTCAAGCCACCATACTGTATGTATGTATTGAATGTGTGTGTGTATACAGGGGCGCCGTTTGCCGACAGGCAAGGCAGGCAAGTGCTTGGACCAGAAGGGGCCCCCCAAAGAAGGTAGATTAAGAAGGTCCACAGCAACGACAACATGAAACACCCTTTAATTTACTGCAACGACATGTCAGGAAACCCCCTCAAGGGGGCCCCATGCATAGAGCGCCAAGAAACTGCTTCATTTCAGTTTCGTTTCTCCGCTCCGGGTGGGGTGGGTGGGGGGGGGGGACTTTACTGGCATAGAGTGGCGAAGTCCCTCCCACTTACTTCCGGGGTATGGGACCTTATTTCGGAAAAATTATGCATTGAAGTCAATGGGGAGAGAAAACTTATCTTTCGATCCCGTTTGAATTGTGCCATGAATTACACATATGATGTTTGTCAATCTTAAAAAATCATTTCCATGTCAAAAAAGTCACAGTTTGTCTTAAAACTGTTGAAATATAAGACTTTGAAAAATACGAAACTAGAAAGACTACAAATCCCAGAGTCGCGTAAGTGATGTCACAATTGAGACACTACGACACACGTATAATACCGTATATATACGATCAGCGCCATATAGATAGAATCTATCTATATGGCGCTGGCTAAGATAAGATAACTTTGTGCCTGTGTGCTTAGTACCAGGTTGTTATTATACCAGCAATGGGTCTCGCTCGTTCTTTCGCTTCCCGTCTGATGAAAGAGGAGTGTGTGGATCAAGTTAGCTACCTAGCTAGTAGCTAGCACGTTAGTTAGCATTACAGCCTTGTCATTTTTATTAGCCTTAACATGAAGTAACATTAAGTAACCCAAAATGTTAAACAGTAAGAGTAGTAGTCATATTTCGTGAACCCTTTGAAGAGTACTGTCACCGGTGTGATCATTCTATAATACACAATTTAAGCCCGGGGGAGAAATGCTAACGCTAACGCTAGCGATCTTCTCTACTTCATGCTATCTGCACAAATGGTTGACATTAAACATTAAAACGACCAGGCAGTTCAGAGAGAATCAAAGGAAGGCAGGCAGGCAGCTTTGCATGACATTCTTCAGGATGTGTTTCATTGTGGTGATAGTGAGGGTAGTCAATTGTTTTGTTGACAAGACAGTAGTGACGGCCATCTTGGTGACGTGTGTTGTTGACCAGAGATGTAGTTCTTTGAGCGTTTCACACAAACAAATGTGTTACTTCACAGTTTTACGACACATTTTTTTTTTTTTGACTTGCAAAATTATCTTTTAAATTGACAAACAACATATGTGTAATTCATGGCACAATTCAAACGGGATCGAAAGATAATCTTTCTCTCTCCATTGACTTCAATACATAATTTTTCCGAAATAAGGTCCCATGGAGGTCCACCGGAAGGGGAGGGACTTCGCCACTCTATTGATCCGGACCAGTGACCTTGTATTAAGTTCACAAGTGGACCTTTAATAAAAAAGTTTGAGTACCCCTGATCTACAGGATCATATAATGCATGTTTTTCCAATGAGGTCTGGTTTAAAGCACCGTTAACCCTCCTGTTGTGTTCGGGTCAAATCTGACCGATTTACTACTTTCATCAATACTCACTTTTTAGTTTTACATCAGACTGCATTAAGGCTTCATGATATCCTTCACAGAGACATTTGAACACACACCATTGCTTTTTTGTCGAAGGAACCGGAAGAAGCTTACTTCCAGGTTTTAGGGTGCGGCCCTGTGGCACTCTATACCAGTAGTCTGATACAATATGTATAGTTTGAAAGGGTATTAAATTAAATGTGGTGATGATTAATGGTTTTTGTGTTAATGTTAAAACAGGACCGTTCAAATTTGACCGCGAACACCAAAGTAAGTGGGGGGGGGGAAACGAAGACAACAGCACCATTAAAGAGCAAGCTTACCTGGATCAAGTCCTCCGTTAGAAAAACCTGGACCGGGCTCCTCTGGGGGTTTGTATCCGAGAATAGGAGCTGTTTTTCGGCTGCAAGAGTGTGTGTCTTCCGCTCCTCTGTTCGGAGATGTGACTCCTTTAAAACTTGACTTTGAATTAAAAGCAGACTTGAGCTGTAGGAGGAGGAGGGGGCGGGGCCTGAGCTGTGACTCACAGGAGGGGGCGGGGCCTGAGCTGTGACTCACAGGAGGGGGCGGGGCTAGCCCTCAGTGGTGACTGACAGGCAGGACTCAGTACTACACTACACATGTATAATTCATTAATTAGTCCAGGTGATGTGTTTGATGTCTTAAGATATATCAGTTCATAATACATATTAGTTGTTGTCATACCCTGGGTCTCCACTATCAGCTGCAACAAGAAAGGACATCAAATACCACAAACATAAAAATATGAATTCAAAGATTATTGTTATTTCTTTAAAAAAATCTATTTTGCATTAATATATTAAAATAAAGAAATAAAGAAAAATAATGTTCTATAAAATGTCTTGATTTGTCAGTGAACATTTTATAAAAATACGATTAATTAATTAAAATACTCACTAATAATAAGGGGTCAAAAAAACACGTGAAATGCCCCAAAAATAAGAAAATTAATTTAAAAAACGGCACTTTTTGTTTCATAAAAGAAAATAGAAAAGTCCCGTTTCTTGGATATTTAGTTAAATGAAGAAATAAAGAAAAAAGGACATTTTAGAAGTACTAATATTTAATATTAAAAGAAATGGAAAAATATTTCTTGTAAGATAAAAAATTATAATAAAAAAAAGAGCAGGAAATTAGAGGTGAAAATGTGTTGCAGGTAAAATCTATTGTTTAAAACTTTAAATTATAATAAAACATTTATTATATTTATGTCCTCTCGTTTGTCAAGCAGGGAGCGCTGTGGGGTCAAAGCTCATTACACTTATGTATTCATGAATCAATAAATAAATGTTCACCTTTTCAGGTCTTAACGAGAAAATGAACTATGATCTAAAAAATATGATCACAACCAATAACAAATAATTTAAACTGGTTTATTCTTATCTTATGTTTCCTAGTTAGCATTCTTTCTTTTTCTTTATGCATATTTTACTAATCACTCATTGGAATGATTCCTTACTTGATCTATATTAAATAGATAAAGGTGTGCTCTCTCTCTCTCTCGCTCTCTCTCTCTCCCTCCCCCTCTCTCTCTCTCTCTATCTCTCTCTCTCCCTCTCCCTCTCTCCCTTCCTCCCTATCTCTCTCTCTCTCTCTCTCTCTCTCTCACACAGAGACTGTGTGCTCCTCCGTGGCGATGACGGCTTGCGTTAAAAAATAATAATAAACATATTTGTAAAGTGGGGGGACACAAACGGGATTTCGAAAAGAGCGGAGGACATTTCCCGCCTGTCCCAGGTGGAAATTACG